AAATGGCCTGAGCCTCGCCATCAATGAAGACATGACATGACAATAAAGACATTTATTTATCAAATACTTTGGGGCAATGTTTGAGATTATGTGTCAGCGTTCCTTAAAATGAGCGATTTTGAACACGAGCATTTTCGAGGGTTTGAGGAACTTCATTAGAGCTCATTTGAAGCATATTTGCCGCAAAAGGAGTAAAGTACAAGTATTAAATTCACCTGAAATGTAATGATAAATGACGCGTTGGGTGATATTTATAGATTACAAATATATAATTTTGTTGAAGAATTAATAAAAATTGAGCTCATTTTGTACGATTTAATGTATAATGTTCTATTAATTCAAAAAGTTTAAAGAAAATCATCAGTGCTGCTTTTGAGAAATTTTTGTGGAGAGGTTAACAGAAAGTTTAATTTTTTCAACTTTCTAAAATTCAGAGACTTTAATTAAAATCGTTCTCTTTCATATTTAAAATGCACTGTTTACTATCCCAGGAAAAATTTATAGAACAGTTTTGAGGCCAATTTTGAGTAAATTTTGAAAATGTTTTACTGACTTCTTAAGAATTCTCTCCTCAAAAATTTCAATTTCTGTAAAATCGCTGGAACGGCACCAACGGATCTTACGTAAACATATGCATTACCTGCAAGCCCAAAAGCTTCTGATCTGCATGAGTTACAAAAATGTGTGACACACACATCCAATATCACATTCGTTTACGTAGACATAGTGAAACCACTACGTTGATTTCAAAGACCGCCATTACCGATATTATAACCCTCCCCTTTTTCCCAATATTATGGACAGATTTTAACTTTTTTCTTCAACATTACATAGAGCGAAATGAAGGTAAAATTAAAAATATGCAATGTGCTTTAGTCGTTAATTTCTTAAAAATTAAAATATTTCCAGAATGAGATCGAATTAGAATATGATTTTAAAAATATGTTGCATAACAAATGGACATAAATAAACAGATTAAAAGCTAACAGTGAGTTTTTCAAAACAGAAATTTAACTTATTTAACTGCGAATTAAAATATTTCCACTACTACCCGCTGAACATCAATCACATCCTCCTGCAATGCCCCCAATACATTTCCCCCACACCTCAACCACTCCTCCCTGGAGTTTTAAATCTATTCTAACTGACGAACAACACCAACGTTATGTAATACAATTTTGTATCGAAATTGGTGTTTTGGGCCATTTTTAACAAAATTAAAAAATGTAATCTCTTACTCTCTTCTGTAACAACAATTATCATTGATGTTACAATTTTAATGTTAATAAATAAATTTGATCCATAATCATAATATCGTTAATGGAAAATGTAAAATATTATATTTATTTAGTCACCAATCCCCTGTTGATGCGATTTAAAATACTTTTAAAAAAAGTTCAAATTGTGAATTCGCTTTTTCGTCCCTCGGCAGAAGTTTCCGATTCTAGTGATTACTTACAAAAAAAAGTAAAAATGAATTATACATCGGAGAATTCCGTAATATTTGATTTTCATTGGCGTGATGCACCTCATACACACATGATATTGATTGCTTTTGTTGCGCATAGAGAGGAGTCATTTAGCCTCAAAGGAACAGTCTGCATTATATTTCTGCGATAAAAATGGCAATGTTCATCACTGGTTGCCACAAAAGTGGGACGACTTTTAGATTGAGCATTACTTCAATTTGTGCAATGAAACAATAAACTACGAAATTGTGTTTTTACTTCACTAATTTGAAGATCATTATAAAAACTCCAATAAATAAGAAACGAAGATAATTCTATGCTTAATTTTACTTTTTTGTAATACGGATTCGTTTTGTCAGTGTCCAATTCTTTTATATTAAATGCCAAATAGCAAATTCTAATACTTTGCAAAGAAAAATTGCACATTTATTTCTGGTATTCCTTACCTATCAGTATTTTTTCAATGTACACATATTTTTACAAAACTGAACCAATCCTAGCGTATATCCTTTATATGTTGTGTCTGGCCATTTCATAAGGACAATTAAATATTCCTTCTCTTAATTCTTTGTTATGCCATCCCATCATCAAGTTCTATAATCTGACAATTATAATCTATATCCTTTATCAGTACTAAGCAATGTAGCTTGATTCACATGGACGCCCTTTAAGTGCCTCCAGGAGCCTCTCTATAAATTCCGTGAAGTGCGCAAGAAACTACATTGCTAACTGGAAACTAGCAGGTAATTTTTACTAACATTAGGGGATCTTCGAAAGATTATGTCAGTAGTCTGTAAGGCGCTTACAAAACGCAATTTGTCGTTGACTGGAATCGCAAAAAAGGAAAAACAGCACGTTCGATAGTTGCCATGCAACACACGAAAGTATAAAAATCGAATTACTTATCTTCAGATGTTTTCGGGACTGCTTAATGAACCCGGGAACTGAATTGAATTTCTACTGCAAATTCAATCGCTATTGGTTTTCGTCCCTCTAGCACTTCGTGTAGCAACCTCGTACTCTTGGGAACATCGACGTGGCGCTCTCAGCAGCACCTAGTAGCGGATAACTGAAGTTCCAGAGCAAACATGGCGCGTGGAAGTGTTGCCATCTGGCCGGCATTCTCTTTCATTACCACGCACAGGTTCCACACAGCGGCGCTGCAAGCAGCTCTTCAACGTCGAATGGGAAGGTGCTGCCATCTATTGATCAAGCTTTGAGGTTCATTCAAAACTGCTTAATGCAGCAGCGGCGTCAAGTGAAAGATATGCTGCTGAATTGAAGATCTTATTACTTACGAGATGTATTTCCAAGAAATAGAAAAGGAGGGAAATGATTTAGCTATGTAGTTCAAGATTGGATTCAATGTTTTTTCGTACCGTTAAAAGAAAATAGGCGAAAGGCCATTTTTTCACACTTTTAAGCAGCATGATGGAGAACTGTCTTATAAATACATTGATACGTAAAATTAAAAAAAAAAATGGTATTGGAGTACGTCAATTTGGGAATAAGCTCTTCAACTGCGTAATAAGGCGAGATAATATAGGCTTCAAAGCGCAGATAAAACGGAGCCAGGAGACGATTATATGGAATAGCATTACATCAAAAAGAATTTCTTTGAATTAACTACTTATAAGTGATTTTGTGGTGTAATACTTTGATCTGAACAGTATATTGCCGTCAAAATGATTCATGAAAAATTATATATATTTCTGGGCACATTGATTTTATTGGTGGAAGAAATCAATAATCGAATATAAAAATGTTTGTTCAAGTGTAGAGTACTAGTGGAAGAACGGGTGAATTAATATAACACAATATTAATCTAACCGAGCCCAAAACAGAAAAGAGGTAGTAAAGTAGTTTGCACTGAATGGTCGTCAGTATTACTAGAAAGCAATTTTGACGAGAATGATTATAATATTTTGAACTGTGTGTTCAGTAAAAGTTGTGTTCTGTTAATCGCTGCTACATCAGAATGTATTTTGCAAGAAATATACAGGCTGCATAATAAAAGGAAAAGAATCATCAGAATATTCAAGCAGGAAGAATTGCAATATACAAAAGTGAAAATGAGGGAAAACATGGTGTTACACGGGATCAGATTAATACCTTGGATGTAGACCTCCCTAGGAGGTGAATCACATTGGCTGGTGCAGTATTGTTACTTACCTGTAAGTGATGTACATTCATACTGTTGATTCTCGATGACACTACATTTTTAAAATAACATTCCAACGAGTAAGTGGATGTCGATGCAGAGGAAGGATTCCTGAGGAGGCGAATCCTCTGTCCTCAAGCACTGACGGCTATGAATACATTTGAGTTGCTTCTGCCCACTGAATTCAGTTCTCTCAACATGAGTTTTGATTTGGACTTTGAATTGTGGAATTTAATAACTGCGTTTGATGTAAGGTTAATTGAGAATTTTACAGAACTTCGTTTCAGTAATAATTTTGGACTCGAAATTAAAAACAAACAAAAGTGTACTTAACATTTTAGGAATTATTTTTCCATTTCCATTTTTTTTACCTCTGAATAGTTTTTTATTCCTAGCCGTTAATGAGAGTTTAATGAATACGTATGTATTTCTTTAGCCCTCTGCCACCAATTGCACCGCAGTCGCGCCCTCGTGCAAGTGCGCATGGGACCTAACACGGAAGGGCCTAGCATCTCGTGCGACGCGCGCCACCTCAGGAATCCTTCGCGAGCAAAGCGATTCGGTGGAGGGGGGGTGGCAAACGCGGAGCGGCGCGAACAAAAAACTCCGTGGGCGCTACGAACTTGCATGCGCCCACGATGCGGCAGAAAATGCGACTAGAGAAGTTCTTTTAGAAGTACTTTGTAGCAAATGTGTCGAGTAAACGCGTAAAAAATCGTATTATTTGATGTACATATACATACAAATAACAGCGTCAGATAGTGTGATATGTTTGCCATTTATTTAAAAAAGGTACAACATTGTACTTCTTCATTTATAGTTTGCATTTTGGTAACTGTAAATTCCTATTTTAAATATAGCATCGAGAACATTTTTGAAAAAGTTAATGGTGCAGCACTACGTATGGATAAACTCGAATATAAAAACCATGTACAGTGTGAAGTAATGCTGTACAAGATATATGATCTCTTCATCGTATTTGTGTATTAGAGTTTCATTGATACATGTTCGAGGTGTATAATTGTGTTTAGAAGTGATCTAATTAACAAGTGACATGTAAAACATAAAATATGGAAATTTCATGTACGAATATACTTTCCACGAGAAAATAAAAGAGAAACCATATCAGCTTCAGGCGAACTTCTTCGCATTGTAAATATCGATGCATCCTACCTCTCTCAAAACCAAGATATAAAAGGGTTTCATGCATCGCCAGGGGGCGGGGTCCAACACCAACTTATTAAACTGAGTTTTATATATATATATATATATATATATATATATATATATATATATATAAATGCATAGGCAAAGAGCTACAATAACTATAATTATAGCAAACAGTTGTAATAAATTGCATAATATTTTGACTAAAAGCCTTTCGTGAGGAAAGTCATTGATTATAGATTGGGTGGGTGCGTGGGAGGAGACTCACCCGAGGGTCTTGGTGCTGATGAGCGGCGTGCGCAGGCTGAGGAAGCCGTTGGAGCGGCCGCCCTGCTCCTTGCAAGGCGCGGGCGCGGGCGCGCGGTCCACCTCGTCCAGGCGGTCCTCCTCGTCGCGCTTGCGCTTCCGCTTGTGCCACCAGTAGCACGACGCCAGCGCCACCGCCAGCGCCAGCAGCGCCGCCAGCGTCGACAGCACCGCCGTCACGATCACGTCGCGCCGCTCCATCGCCAGCTGCAACGCGAGCGCCGCCATCATCATCATCACAAGCCCCGCGCATGGAACAAACGTTTCCTTCTGGCGACTGGCGGAGGATATCCCACACCAGGTATCTCCCTCCAGCCTGGCTCCACCGCGAACCTTCCTACAGGACTCCCGGCATGTAGTGCATGTACGTGGGTGAGAATAAGACAAGAAAGAGGAAGGAAAGGTCGCGCGCGGCCCGTGGACCGCTTGTTAGAGCACTGCTCGAACGAACTCCATTCGAACCCTAGGCCCTCCCAGTCAGAGGCACTGCACTGACATCAGTTGATGCCCTGAGCCACTTCTGTCGGTTGCGCTGGTAGGCAGCCTTCCTTCTCCCTAACACATCACCCCCATTCCCACTTATTCCAACAACACGCGTAACTGACACCGTCATTAACGGTCCTTTCACTTTACAAATTTCTTCCACTTGGCGGTCATTTTACTTTAAGTTACGTTAAGTTATTTCTGGAACCGTCATTGTTTCATAAAATATCAGTTAAATGTCGATGTGCTTTCTCTCTGAGAACATTTCGTATAATTCCGCACAGTATCTGAAATTTCTGAATTTTAATATTAATATAATTTTTTTAACAGAATAAAAAATGCTACGAAGATTGTTGAAGTTATTTACTTGTTCGACACAGTTACCATTCATTGCTTTATTTTATTTATCTATATATTACTTTTTAAGTAAAACAATTAAAAACTGAGTGTGACGTACTATGGTGAGAAATGTATTTTGTGAATGTTTTCTTAAATTCTGAAATCCTAATCCTAACCCATACACATACTCATGTTCAATTCTGAAAACAGATCGAAACGAGCGTTTGTTCTTCAAATAGTAACGAGAATTTTGGGAAATTTTCTTAGTGAAAACGTATGGACCATTTAGCATTTTATGTTCAGACAAAATGTAACGTGTGATTGATGTTAAAACGGGCATTTTTGGGGAATATTATCATACAATTGTGTTTAATAATTAGCATTATATATTATTCGATATATTTGCAATTGCTTCGCAATGCTATCAATGTTGCAGCTTTGCAAAATGAACATACCAAACAAACAGTTCATTTGGCTTTAACACTCAAATGACTCGTAATTTCAAAAGTAATATTACTTTGGTATTCTAATGGCGATTGCATTCGTCTCTTAAATAACTGCAGAAATAATGTAACTGTTAATATGAAAAAATGTGAGGTATCTTGCATGAACCTCGCAATAAGCAAAACTTATCTGTGTCACTGCAAAGACCAGCAGAACCAGAATTGGTCATCGAAACAAAGGCAGTATTACACTATCTAATAATGTGTTATGAAGGTTTATAAAACATGGCCAAATCAAGGAGCAAAAAAATGTAATTGCTCGCACAGACAAAAAGATTGTAATATTCTCTGGAAGTTGCCTCCCTGCTGTGACACATGAAAAGAACAGAAATAAGGAAAGACGACCTGCGCGCAGCGTAAGTACACAGCCGTGAGCTTGACCCGCATTCTCTCAGTCTGTTGTTAAAAATGTCGCTTCATCCATGGATTAATACGGAGCACTTATTGGAATATTTCTGACATTTTACTTGCAAAATTACTTGGTACGGAATTCGTGGTAATGTTCTAGACTCGTTATGTTCGCATCTTAAACAACGATGCAACAAGTGGGACGGGGCACAAACCCGACGGAGGACAAAATTGCTAAGGGGCAAGTGGAAAAAGGAGACAGATGACAAATAAATATATTTTACATCTGTCTAGAATCAACATTTTAACAATAATGAGTTCTAATAAAAGGCGCCAAAAACTAGTGTCTTTCCAATAAAGAAAGACATTTCAAACTGTCTTGTCAAATCCACTCGGGCAGTTTTTCTTACTTCAAAACGAGGACATGCCCAGGGAGAAGAGGACGTATGGTAAATGCAACTTTGTTCGCTGCGGGAAGCGCGGGCGTCATGGAAGATCTTTGCCAAACGTCTCTAAAACACTATTTCTAATACTCCACAACACTTCAAAATTTGAATAGTACGTGGGTTTTGCAAAGTTTTCTATCATCTGGCGAAATGTCCAGAACGTTTGGTGCACTCGCTTCCAACACCGGGTGTCCTGCGAAGTGGTTTGCCAGTGGTTTGTAAGGGTGAAGGCTACGGAGGACAAATATTTTTCCTACTTTTGTATTAAGCAAGAAGGGATTTCGGCAGCAGGTCTCAAATCTTTCTTCAGATCTTACGTAACACCTACAATCCTTGAGAAAATTCGCATAGCACTTGAATGAAAATCACTTCAATACGTTTTAAATAGATGGCTTAATATTCAAATTTAAAGATTTTTTTAAAGAAAGATGCATTCAATTAGTGTTTTTTAAAAGAAGACCTTTAAAAGTGAATGTCGATGTTACTAATTATCAGCCTCAAGTCATTTTACACGACCAATTTATTCTCACTTTTTAAAATGTAACATAAAGAAAAAATGCCTATTTTCAAAGATGAGATGATATGAATGGAATCAGATACTGCAAGGTTTTGGGCGGATAATGCATAATATTCTTTTTGAACATACAGCTAAACATTCGCGACATTTTTTGCATTTGAAAGTACTTTTTAAGAAAAGTACTGGTTGAATGACTTTGGCATTAATAGTGTTAACTGTAAAATATCCAATTCATTTTTTAGACATTTATATGTATTTCACTGTTTTAATAAGTGAAATTCAAAAACTAATTCTCTATTTTTCTTTTACATCGTCAGTTGAGAAGCACTGAGAAGATTCAAGATCGCCCAACGAGATGAGATGTTCGTTCCCACTGCACCAAACACTGTGTTTATATTACAGTGTGACTGAAGAACCATGATTCATGCAGAAATATGTTTGATATCAATATTTGGACTTCCAATGTCATTTAATTTCCTGGGTGTTTGTGCTCCTCTTCAATATTAAAAAAATAGATTTTCGTGCGGTGAACATGTAGTGTGCGGTGTCAGAAATGTAGAAATAAACACTTGGCTATAATTTATCGCAATTAAACCATGAAAATCAATTACATAATAACCATCACATTCATAAGATATCTGGGAATAACTGGTAAAAATCTCAGTTATCTAAGTTCAACACAATTGCAGCAATCGTTGAGTAAACATGTTTAATATTTGTGGGTGAAACAGAAAGGACGGGCCGAGTAACCCCAAAGTCATGTGAATTGGCAACACAACTTGCGCTAGAAAGAGAGAGTCTTATGCAAAATTGTATTCGATGGAAAGAGGGGAGATGCACCATAAGACACCGTACTGCAATCAAAGATTTGGATGCGAATTGGTAGGGCGATAGTATTCAAAATATTTGCGAATAATGAATGAGGGTTACTGCTGAGCACAAAGATTGTGCTGCTTATACGAATAAGTGTTATGTGAATTTTTGAATACTGTTTTGTCTTTTTTTAGGAGCAATTCAGGAACTTTATGGATTCATTTATCAGAATCTAGTAACGTTATCTATGCCATGAGTTCACATAGGAGTTCTGTATGTTTAAGTTGCAAATGGACGAGCATTCAAGATCGCTTTGTCTTTCACATTCACTATGAGGGGCTATGGGCAAATGGTGTACTTCACCCTGCAACGATACCGACCTACCTCAACTCGTACTGGTGGGGCTGGTTGGGCGAATTTTCATGCCCCGTTATAGTAGGATTTGTTTAGAGCAGCGTTTGAATTAAATCAGCTGTTGATGGTTTCATTCAAACCAGAACTTATATATCGCTACAGTGACGTCACTGTGCTGACGTTCAAGCGCCCGAGTGGATGAAACCATCAACAGGTGATTCGCTTCAAACGCAGCTCTGAATGAATCAAGGTATAGCTGGAGGGTAGCGAGCGCACAAACTACGTGGCGGTCCCTGCAACGGCAGCCAGCGACTCGAGGGCGGTGATCGGATCGCGAAGGTCGTCGGAGTGAGGGAGGGGGGAGCGACGGCAGACCGGACGCGAACGATTCGAGAGGCCCCGGCTCGGCGAGGAACAGCGTGTGCGGTCGCAAAACCAACTGGTAGTGACTGCGGAGTGACCGACAGAGTTCAAAAATAGTAGTTTATGCAGTTAAGTTATAATGTTAAACTTTATTGCAGGAATACAATTTCTTCTTCTTCTTCTT